ATTTTATTTTATTTTATTTTATTTTATTTTATTTTATTTTATTTTATTTTATTTTATTTTATTTTATTTTATTTTATTTTATTTTATTTTATTTTATTTTATTTTATTTTATTTTATTTTAATATTTTTATTCTTAAGGTAAACTTTTTTATTTTATTTTATTTTTCTTTCTTTACTTTATTTTATGTTAATTTAATTTTTTATTGTTTTTTGTTTCGTCCAATTTAATTAATTTAAATTAAATTTTATTTTGTTTTCTTTTTTTTATTTCATTTTCATGTTTTTATTTAATTTAATTATTATTTTATTCTTTTTTTTTTAATTTTATTAAATGTTTTTTTTGTTCGGTGAATTGTCTTGTTTTTGTATTTCTGTTTGTAGGTATATATACCGGTTTATTGCTGTACCTCAAGTCATTCAAAATTTGCATTTTATTGTATTGTAGAACTTCCTTTTTCGGATGGAGCTTACGTAAATTTTCATAACCAAATTTATTCGCGCGAAAGTAAAAGTTACCACGTCAATCACAACAAGCACAAGTTGGCTGACGTATGTGTAGATGTATGTATTTTTTGTACATTAGGTAAAAATGCAATCGTAAAACATTTACCGAAACTCGAAATATATACGGAGTAACTGTCACCAAAAGGAATTCGTTTCTCTTCGCCAATGACAATCGAGTAATAATCAATTCAAGGCACGTACTTAGTTCGATGTTGTCAACTTTTTGGGTCTACACGAATGCCGGAAGAAGCTTTTGCAGGCATTTGGTTGTAAAAATGTATATATTGACTTACATATGTATATATTTATTTTTGTACGAGTTTGTGACATAGATAAATGGTAGTAACTTAAGTGTGGAAAAGTTGTAATATTTAATTTTTATAGAATTGCAGCAGTCTTTTTTTTATTTGTTCAAGGACTTAAGAGTTAGAAGAGCAAGAATTACTAATATGTATATGTTCATTTCAAAAAAAAAAAAAAAAAAAAAAAAAAAAAAAAACAAAAAGAAAAATAATAAAATAAAAATAGTAAGGAATATCTGAAAGGATTCGCGTAAATCAAATATGATAGGCTGAACGGCTCTCTTTATCGAAAATCATGAAAAGGCAAGTAGAAGTCTGCGCTCAAAAGTCTCAAAGTCTGTTGCATACGACGAAGAGTTCAGTTCAGTAACAAGTGCAAGTATCAAAACCTCACATGTGTTTGACTGAAGCGTTTGATTGGAAGTGTTTTGTTTAATTAAAAATGAAAATCTGTCAACATTTTCCTCCAGGGTGTTCAAACTGATCACTCTCATCGGGCCAACAATGGCAGCTTAATTGAAAGGGAAAGCTTCAAAAACACATAACCTTCGTTACATTAACTGCCACCACAATGCGTAATCCAAGGTCATTGAGAATGAGAACACTTGCGCGGTTATTTATTGCAACCTCATGTCGTGACAGTGCGGCAAACCGGTTTTTGTAAAAATGCAGTGCAAGTGAAACAGTTTAATGATCGATTTAAATTAAGCGCAACAACCACTAAATGATACAAGTTATGTACTTCAGATCATTTACAGGCAATTAACAGAGTTAATCCGCAATGAATTGCAGGGAGAAGTCACCACAGATGTGCTGAGTAAAGTGTCATGCAAGGAAGGAGTTGAGGCAATTTAGCGGAAGTAACGATTCAATCCGATTTGGCGGCACAAAACAATCTACGACACTTCAAATCAACTGCACCTCAGTCGAGAGAACAACATGGAGCGCAACATTACAAACACAACGCCCCACACTTGCCGCACACAATCTCTCTAAATAAAGCCAATAAACAGTGAACTGATTAACATGATAATAAAATTGAGCAAATTGTAACAGTTGCCAATGGCAAGCAGAAAGCGCTCATCAGCAGCAGATGAAAGGGTGCTTTAACGGCTTGAGTGGAAAGTGTCATGTGCGAGTACTGCTGCTTGGCATACGAATGAGAGCACATGGCAGGAATACATAAATGAGTAAGGGATCTGTAGAGGGTACACACCTATGCACATTAATAAGAAACAGCTGTTTGCATTACTGAGAGTAGGCGAAGCATAAAAGAGCGGCTATGAAAAAAAAAATAAAATTGCAAAAAATCGTGTCACAAGTTTTGTGTTAATACAAAAATAAAAAGGAGAGCAAGGACAGCGTTAATGTTGGCAAGCAAGCAACACATGGAATATGAAAACACTTATGCATAAATATGCATACATACATACATACATACATACATAGTATACAAGACACCCTTCATACAAACCCAACAGTCTCTGTCTCTGCTAGCGCAACACCACAATGAAAGCAATGATCCAAAGTCAACGAATGTCCATAAATCGCTAGAGTAAATACTGATGAGCTACAAGCTTACAGTTATAAAAGAAAAATAAAAAATAAAACTAACACAATTTCAAGTGTCTTTCATTCATTCTAAATGCATAACGAAAAAGAAAAAAAAGAGAAAGAAAAAAGTGAAAAAAAAAAAACCATTTGCTAAGCAAACCATCAGCGCTGATGATGATAATGACGTTGACTTTCCGATTATTATCCCTTGCAGTTTCAACGTCGGTAGACATCAGCAGGGTTGGTTGGTTACCACACGGCATGGCATGGCATGGCATGGCATTTTTGTAGGTTATGTGACATGGCGACAGTGCTGAAGATGTTGATAGGGAAAGTGGTAAGAGGTAATTTTCAACGGTTATGCAATATTTGTGGTTGATAATGCATACACAACTATATATATATGCATATATGTATGCCACATGGTTATGAAGGGTAAACTATTTAATGTCTGGTATGGGTGCGGTGCAGGAAATAATTCTGTTTCAACATTAAAGGAAATACCCTCTGTTGTTATTATTGTATTTTATAATTTATGATGTGTAAATAATAGAAAAAAAGCAATAAATTTTGTGGTTGGCGCGAATAAGTGACCATAATTGGAAGGAAATCTCAATATTATTCTGATAATGGTGGCACTATTTGTTTCAAGAATAACCAAATTGAATATATTAAAGAGTTCGTAAGAGAATAACTGAGTGAAGATAACTGCATGCTCATCCTCAAAGCTTGGTGAGAGGGAGTAACTTTAACTCATCTGAACATCGAATGACAAGAGTTCTTACAATTGGTTTGGAAAGCTTTTGAAATTCTTTCTTAGTACCATTGAACGCCTATCTTTTAGCGGGGGAAAACCTGCTGAGCCTATAGTAGCGATAACTGTTTAGAACTACAAGAAATAGTCGCTCAACAATTATTGTGAATATCTTAAAGTATAAAGTATACAGCAGTGCTATTCAAACATGGCGATGAAGAGCTGACAGGGTGCATGCATCACTTACTTTGTCTCCTTAATATAGCCTATAAGGTCCTGTCGAGCGAGCGTATTGTGTGAAAGACTAAAAAAAAAGACCGTGAACCTTATTAGTGTGGCTTCAGATCTGGTAAGTCAACCATTGACCTGATATTCACCATGCGCTAAATCTTGTAAAAAAAACCTCGTGAAAAGAGGATCGACACCACACCACCTGCCATTAAAGCAGCCTTCGACAGCGCGAAAGGAGCCGCCTATACTCCGCTATGTCTGAATGTGGTATCCCAGAAAAACTTATACGGCTGTGTAAACTGACCCTAAACAACACTGAAAGCACCGTCAGTATCGCAAAGGACCTCTCCGAGCTGTTAGATACCAAACGAGATTTCAAACAAGGTGACTTCTTATTGTGTGACTTCTTTAATTTAATGCTGGAGAGAATATTACAAGCTGCAGAGCTGCATAGAAAACTGCAATTCTCTATAAAAGTGTACAGCTGCTGGCGGACGCCGATAGTATAGACTTTAACAACCGCGCCGTGAGTTCTGCTTTCTCCAGACTGAATATGGAACGAATCACACAAACAGTCAACGTATTTGGGACTAGGCTCCCACGTCACCGTTGACAGTCATAACTTTAAAGTCGTAGATAACTTCGTCTCTCTCGGAACCAGTATCAACACCAGCAATAATGTCAGCTTCGAGATCCAACGCAGAGTCACTCTTGCCAACAGGTGTTACTTTGGACTGAGTAGGCAATTGAGAAGCAAAATCCCCTACCGACGAAGGAATATCAAACTTTACAAGTCTCGTTCCCGTCCTTCTGAGTGGTACGGAGGCGTGGACGATGGGATTGGTATCTCCAATTGACGTAAAGCCTTATATACAGTACATAAATCGATTGGTACTTTGAATTGTCAAATGAGGTAAAATATAATTTGCGGTGTAGTGGATGTCAATAAGTAATTTTTCGGTATACCAAAAAGTTCACAGATATCTATGTATATAGCTGTGGAACACCTACTGTTCTTTGGACTACGACGACCTCAGATGTTTGAGTCGCATTCTTTTTGGGGAGCGCCAACGACTTCTTTCTCTCAATCTGTTTTCTGTATATATCTTTGTCAGTAAAACCCACTTTATACGGAACCAATAGGTTGGGACCTGTCAGTGGGACCATTTTCTAGTCCTTCCGTGATTCCTTTTACTAGAGTTTCCCCAGATGTTTTTCCAACAAATGGAGAAACCTATACTTTAGACTAAGCCAGTGTATTTCTCGACAGGGAGTATCAACCCGCCCGAGTGTATTTCTGACATGAAATAAAGTTCCTCATAAAAAACCATCGTTCGTTCGGAGGTGGCATAGGTCCCACCATTTGTTGGAGCTCGGCCGAAAATTGATTCTGCGGTTATAAAGCGCCAATAATGTATGTTATGGTTGACATTCCCTGCCGTGGGGCGATCGCAATTAGAAAATTTTTAATTTTTCATAAATATCAGTCATCAAAATCAGGAGGGAAAGTTTAACCGAAGATCACATAACCGTATATTTAGTATTCGGTAACCAATTTTTTCCTCTTTATTTGATTTATTTTAAAATAATTTCCACACTTAACACAAATGATCACAAAAACCACACAACTCCGAAATGCCACCCAAATCACTTACCTTCCTGCACCAGCTACACCTCCCGTTGCTTGCGGTGAAAATTGACTCGCTTCCGTCACGTTACAGCCACCCGAAGTAGCGATGATAACAACATTGTTGACAGCAACGCTCGGTGGCGGCAGCGTCACATTGTAACATGATGCATCTGCACCACAAATTTCCGTTGGTCGTAAATACCATTTGGTTTGTGAACCGCTGCTAGCATAAAAATCCGTTGCAACCGTTGTACCATTGCCGACATACGAGTATTCTGCGCTCGTTTGTTGCACGCGCTCATCGTCTGTAACTGTTACAATTGTCGCGGGTATATCCGATATGGTAGTATCTTTGATATTTGTTACACTGGCAGTTGTTGTTGTTGTTGCTGTTGTGGAAATATTTGTGGTATCGCTTGAAGCTGTAATTTCCAAAACAGTTGCAGGCAATGATTCCTCCATTGCTATTGTCGTGCCGAATTCATTAACCGAAGCGCGTCCACTATCGGTAGCCGGAATGTCCTGTAGCGACTTTAAGTGTTGTTGTTGTTGTTGTTGTTGTTGTTGTTGTTGTTGTTGTTGCTGTTCTAGCTGGTCTGTTAGTACCTGTTGTTGTTGCTGTTGTTGCTGCTGCTGCTGCTCGTCATGTAACTGTTGCTGCGTGCCTGTAATTAGTTTTGTATACGCCTGCTGTGACTGTTCTAATGTCGAGATACCGTTAGTTATTGTACGACACTCAACGCCACCACAGCCACCCACTTGTATAACGCTGGCGTTCATGCTGAGTTCGTTGGCGTTTTTGGTGGCATGACTTTCGGTTTGTGTGTTGTATATATGTAAGCTGCTGCTGGACGTTGTAGTCGTATCGTTGGCAGTCGTTTGCATTGTTGTAGACATTTTTTTGTTATTTTGTTTTTTTTTTTTTATTTTTAAGTTCTTGAGTCGCTTTTTAATTGAGGATTTTCGCGTTGTTTAGAACAATTGTCGCAAGTTATAAGCAAGTTATGTATGTGCTGCTTAAAGACATACACACACATTTATTTATAGCGAGGATGTGCGGCAACACGCAGCAGCACAGCGTAGCTTGGCGCAGACAAAGTGCTATTTTGTGGGCGGGGGTAGTTTTGGTTGTCGTAAGATAGGGTTGGTGTGTAGACTACGCGTTGTGTAGGTAGCTGAGCAGTTGGTAGATTTTGTTGTTTTGCAATCTATTGATTTTGCAACATTTCACACGGTTGTGCAACAGTATTCTGCTTGTGCCACAAGCCAAAAACTCAATAACCCTTTTGGTTTGCTCTCTTTTTGCTTGTGTTCTTCGCTTGGTAAACAAATTCATGTAAAACTGACATACGTGTATGTACGTACGTACTAGAGTGTGACGTCAAAAATCGCTATACACTTGTAAATTACAGCACAGGTGCACATACATACATATGTACATATGTGTGTGGGTTTGATTGATTTGGTGAATTTTTCATTTATATAATTTTTTGTTTTCGTACTACAAGGCAGTGTGGTTGTTTAAAAATTGATTTTATAAATATTTTTATTATTTTTAATTTTTTAATAAATATTCACTCTTCGCACTAATTGACGTTGTTGTTGTGGTTTTATCGAATTTTTTTAATAATTGAATTTTTCAGCAAAAAATTACGGCTTGATATTTTAATTTTTTTTGCACGCCTTTATATGCAAACATACATACATACATACATATATACATGCAAACATATATCACTTCGCTTCTTCGCTGTATACAACCAATAACACTTCGCACCGAAAATTCTGTCGCGTTCTTTCGCCCAAATTTAACTTCAACTTTTTCTCCCACAAAGTCAAACTCTTTGCTTGTTGCTGCTTATACACACACACTTCGTTGAAAATACAGGTTTTCTTGCACAAAAAAAAAACATATAAGTATGTATGTATATGATTTATTTATTTGTTTCACTTGGCAATAAGTTTAGCTTGATTTTTGCATGAAATATGTCAAAGAATTGTGCACAAATTCATATTTTTCTTTCGCTATATCTATCCGCTCTAACCGTCGCGCATTCAAATCCGAGCGTCATTTGTTAAAAACAACAAGAAACAAACTGCAAAATACAGCAAAAGTTTATATCTATGCAAGCGCAAAGCTCCAATGCAACATGTTGCGCACAACTTGCCGCCCAAACAGGTTCGAGGGCGCACCAAACACGACCATGCTGACTATATGACATGCCAGGGGGGTGGAATGGGGGGGGGGGTATAAATTGTGGGCAAAAAGCGCGTCGCTGTTAGTACAAACAATGCAAACAAATAAGCAGGCAGCAGCAACAACATGCGCTCATACCTGCATACGAGGGGCGACTGATCACTTCGCGATCTAAGGTCGTTAGAGATGACCCATGAACGTGTTATTGTTAATACTTATTGCGGAACTCATTATTCGTATAAATAACACAACAGTTTTTATTTGCCTAGAACAAGCAATAAAACTAAAGGGTGATTTTTTAGCTATTAGTTTTTTGGCAACACTGGTCTAAGCAGCTGAAGCACTTTTCGGATCTTGAATCACTGTCAAAAAGCTTCAGTTTGGTCTATGATTTAACCATGCATCGTCCTACAAACGAAAAACGATTGTAAATTATAGAATTTTGCTCTCAAAATGCGTGCTCTGTTAGGAAAATTCAAAAAAAAAAAAAGAAAAAAAAATTGGGTTCGGCGACGCAGCTAATTTTCCTCTTAAAAGTCGCATAAATAAGCAGAATTGTCGATTTTGGAGTAAAGATCAGCTAGAAGCATTGCAAGCGCTACCAATGCATCTGGAAAAAGTCACAGTTTGGTGCGGTTTATGGGCTGGTGGCATCATTGGACCGTACTTCTTCAAAGATGATGCGAATCGTAACGTAACTGTAAATGGTGAGCGCTACCGTGAGATGATATCAAACTTTTTTTTTGCTCAAATTACAAGAGTATGCCAAAATAGGATGGACCATTTGAGGCGCAGTCACGGTCAATGTTTACATGAAATAATCTTCAAACATTAAATTATATGGACCGTGGTATCGATTCAAGTAAAAAGCTCATATAATTTTCTGAATTTTTTTTTTTTTTTTTTTTTTTTTTTTTGGGAAACCTTCCTATAGCTCTTAAAGAATCACCTTTTTTTGTCTGCGGAACTGGAAATTCTGAAAATTTAGAGCAACGCGCTGTCATTAAATTTCTTGTAAAGAAAGTAGTTCTTCGTATACAATTCAGAAAAAATCGGTACGGCACCCGGCCGGGGTGCACAAGTGACAGTCATGACCGAAGAAATTGTTATGAAATCGAAAAATTAGTACGGGATGATTGAAGAATTAAATTGTGGGAGATAACAGAAGGTTTACAGATGAGCAATGACATTTGAAAAATGGGATGAAGCTTGGATTCGCCAGTATGAGCCCGATTCCAAACAGCAGTCGATGCAGTGGTAAAAATAGGGGGAAAACCATTCGAAGTGGAAAAGTTGAACGATTATGGCTATCATTTTCTGTTCGAGCTAGGTAATATTATTAAATGCAGTCGCATAGAAAAGAGTTAGCACGCGGAGTGCTGTTTCTCTGAGGGTTAAACCTTACCAGAGGTTGAAAAATAGACTCATTTTTAAAAATATATTGTAGCAGTATGGGAAAAGTAATAGAATTTCTTTTTATCTATTTAATTAAACATATATTTGAAAAAAAATTCTATTATTGTTATTTTGTTACAAAATGGCGGTGATAAAAGTCATTAGTTAATCCATGTTTTTTAAAAGGCGTCCGAAACAGGACTGACTTCTTTTAAAGCAAGAAAATTAGAACAGAAACTCAAAAGGTTTTATGATCTACAAACTATGGTCTTTCGGATAGGCGTACGGATCTATTTTTTAACTAATTTTTGTGAATGCGGCACATTTTTTTTTTTTAAAGATTGATTTCTGACCAAAAAATATACCTCTAATTTAATAAAAAATTAAAGGTAAAGTGTTTTTCACTTGATGGAGACTATAGCATAAAAAATATGAAACATAAATCTATACACTTGCTGCCTGAGTACCTTAGACCGCGCACATACCAGGCGCCCCTGGTACATGCACGCACTCATTTAAGCACAAAAATCTCCGCTTGCTTTTGTTTATACACGAAGTAGCTCGTTTCAATGGCCAAACCAACTGATATTCTTGAAACGAGCTTTGCGCCAAACACCTCAAACATGCCAAACAAACAAAAACAACAAAGAAAATAAAAACAAAAAAAACTCGCCGGTTATGTATCCTCGCATGCCAGTCGGCATTTTTTTGTTTGTGGAACGCATGTTGCTTATGTGTGTGGGGAGACAACGCGAGAGCGAACTTACAACAGTTTTGTTTGATCCACATTGTGTTTGTACGAACTTGTTGCAACAGTTGGAGCTTATTTTTCTACACAGCTTTTTTGTTGTTGGTGTGTAGGCTTTCTAAGGTGTCACATTCTGTAAATGATGTGCGCCTATAAGTATGCAGTGGAAATTTGTAAAGTCGTAGGCAAGAGATACCGTGCATTAGACAGTGATGGCTAAAATATAGAAGCGCCGTTGCCATTATTCAATTTGATGAATTTATTTCATGGAAAAATTATGTAAGAGTACAAAATTTCATGTTTAATGTATTTAATTAACTTTTTAAAAAGTTATATCTAAGTGCTGTCGCTTTTTCAAACCAAAATTTATAAATTAAAACTCTTTATTTGAAAGTACTAATCATAATAAGGAATTTTTGAATTAAATTGAAACTCTAAAAATTATTTTCATTTCTAAATTTGGTCAATACAAGCGTTCGGATTTTTTTCCTATACCGTATGTATATATTCAAATGATCTGAGCCAGTTTTTATAAGTTCAAGTTTTCGTGTTATCTGGGCCATAAAAAAACCAAAAAAAAAAATTGTTTTTTCTCACTCTCTCTCTCTCTCTATGATTTTTCACTCGCTTAGAGTAGAGCAATCGCTCGATTCTGCTCTGACTTGTTTAGCAAGTTCCTTGATTCTGCAGTTGCTCTTATTGCTGGTGAGACCAGCGAACCGAAGAGTCATAGTTTATTTTACCCCCTAAGGGTTAGGGATACAAGAAATTATTATCGTCGAGTCTTTGAAATGAAAATGGAAACGTCCAAGGTCCAGAACAACGATTGCATCACAGTAAGTATTCGATTCATTGCATCAGCAGCTATATTGTCGTCGTAGATAGCAAGTAAACGAGCCCACATTCTGTCATAGTAAGAAGCGAGTTCAGTGTGAAATTGTAGTGGGAAAAAATACCGCCCTTAGATGCGCCTTGTTGGATTTTCGAGTGCCGTCAAAGATAACAAACGAAAAATCCCTTTTAGGCGAGGCGATGTTCTGACAATCGTTTTTTTTGCAACAGGCAAATTTGCTGTGAAAATCGGAATCGGTGGCTATCTTTTTTTTTTGGCACATTCACCGAGCGTGCGATGCTTTTGCTGCTCGTTCTGCTTCAATTCATGATACTTTGGCTAAATCTTCTACTAAAAAGATTGGCACAGGTCCTATTCGGGGCTCTTCGGCACTTTGTGCCACAGCAGGTTGCCCTTGTCCGTTAGAGTATGGCAAAAAATAGGACAATAGTTGCTCAAATTACCGACTCTGCTGGTCGACTATGTCTAGCGAATATTGAAGGCAACGTGCGATATTCCGGAGAAAGTTTCTTCATTTAATAAATGGTTAACCAAACTGAGTTATAAAGTGAGTTATAGCTTAGTAAAGCATCAACTCCGAAAAAAGTATCGCCTCATTGAAAATCCCACGTCTAAGGAAATACCCATTTAGACCGTCCTCGAACTTACGTGTACATCTTTTGCTTTACATAAACCCAGCGTTGTCCCACTCCCGCCCCACCGACCGAGGGGTGCGTCTCAGAGACAATCGAAAAAATCTAACACATCGATTACCGGAATCCAGCGACAGTGCGGACTGCCCTGAACCGATCGCGGATGGTCGCTTCGGAAGATTTGTTCATGAGCTGTAGTAAAATTACATGGGCAAAAGGAGATGGAATTTACTTAATTATTTGAAGCACTCAGTAATTAGGTTTTGATACAGAAAAGCGAGTCAGAGGATTTAATGTTGGTGAAATGTGTAATCAAAGATCGCAAAGATCAAAAAGGTTCGCTCATTCCAAAGTTAGTTTTGCTGAAAGGGGCCTAAAGTGTCTAGATGATCTTTTTGGGATGGTAAAGTTAAGCTCGCTAATTAGGAATGGTCTATTGATAGCACCTCCTTCTTAGTTAGCTTAGTTCAAAAAAAAAAAAAACATCTTTTCACGGCTGTGGAGTGTTGGCAGATTGACAAGCCGTAAACGGTTTTTGTAAGACGGCAGGTTCTTATTCGCAACCCAGTTAAAATTCCCTAACGCGAATAGTAGAAGCAGATCCTAATTAATCACTATACAAATGATAGTACGGACTCCATACAACTGAGCTATATTACAAAATGGGCCTAACAAGTGAGGTAAAGAGTAATTTGGTACTGTATGGGTTCTTGAAATCCTTAGTCCAATGTCCAATGAAAGCTAAAGCGCCTTTTGATTTGTTACCTCCAGCATTTATATGATTTTTAAAATACAGCTGAGGGTCCGTTGTGACAACTAAATCAAAGAAGTCAGTAACTTGTTTAACACTGTGATTATGTCTCATATAGGCAAAGGGTTCGAAAGATTTTCTGGAGAAACACATTTAGGGACATACAGTTCGCATCGCCCCACCTAACTATATTACCTAGGTCAAGTTGCAAAGGCTTTCTATCTTCAATAGAATGAACTGATTTAAAGAGCTTGACATCATCTGCCTTCATGAGTATTTTAGAATGAAAAACAACATTTGGAAGGTCATTGACGAATATAAGAATGAGTAATGGACCGAGTGGACTGCATTGAGGGACACCAGATGTTACTTCTATTTCGCGTGAGGTATCAGGTGTACAACTTTGCTTTTGCCGTTTTCCGATAGGTGGTTGTACCGGCTGAGGCTGGTTGAAATACATAGATGATAATACCTTTAAAGTGAGTGTGGACAGTGCCTAACGAATTGTCATCGCCGTTTCAGTGACTGTAGTTCTTGT